TCTATTTCTCAACTTGATGCAGGTTTGCTTCCTGTGGTGGCTCTGCTTCTGATTCAAGTGAGCCGTCGATTTATATATTTTAGCAATTCGCCTCTTACATCTTCCATAGCATAAGTACAATATAATGCGCGGGGCATTAAAAAATTCCTTTTATTATTGCAGTGATGCTACGTAAGGAGTAAGTGGCAAATTACTATAATATATATATATATATATATATATATATTGTATATAAGTTTTATATAAATAATTCATATTATTTATAAGGTTATTAAAGAGCAATACAGGTATGAACACTACTAGTTATTCAAGTAGTGAATTTGAATACCCTAAATTGTTAGGTATTGACCATTATTAGATACATGAGAAACAAGCATCCTCTCTAGATGCAGGTTTGTCAAGTGCAAGGCTGCCTTTGTCCCTTTTTCATAGGATGCATATACTAGGAAGTATATTGTTTTGTGGAAGCTCAACCACAACTTGTAAGTTCTTTGGTTTTCTTGCATGATAAAAAAATAAACAATAGTAGATAATTTTTCACCAATTAATTTTAATGAATAAATAGAACTTCAGGCTTATAAAATGTGGAGGCTATCAAACAATAACAACAACAATAAAATTATTGATGGAATTGCCTTTATTTTACTGGAGTTAGGTTTTCAAAATCCTATAGCTGATACTTGATTTGAAAAGTTCAATGTTAGTATATATATAAATATTTTATTATTATTTTAATTTGGTCTGTCTTTTAATTTAATGAATTAAATATTTTTTGAAATTGACATGTAAGAAAAAAATTTAATAGGAGGAGGATGACAACATTTTTTCAAAAGGGTGTGGGAGAATCACAACTCCATGTAAGATTGAATTTAAAATGTAAATGTTTTATTTTTTAAGAAAATATTCATTTTTTTATTATCTTAACCAATAATTTATTTATACATGTCAGGTTGCGTAATTTCTAGTACAAACTGTCACAAAAATCAAAGAAATATACAAAGAAAAGAAGTTTTTTAGGCTAGGAAGACATGGTCCTGTGGAGAAATTTTAGACTTGCACACATCTTAAAGGTTACCTGGAAAGCTTATATTCAGCACGTGATGTTTGAGCATTTCGTGTGTTTGTCGGGATCCAATACAAAAAATCAAAACAAGGAGATTATGGTTCAAATATCACTAGTAGATCTATTCTATTTATTTCACATGCAAATTAGATAAAAATATTCTATTTTATTATATATTTTTTTAAATTGTTGTTTTATATAAAAATATTTAACTAATATTAGTTTTCTTTTACATCTACAGTACTTGAACGCAATCCAATACCAATGATTTATTTTTTTGGTTGAAGCTAACATGTAAAATAAGAACACTAGCTCTTTAACATATCATCTCAATCCCTTCCCTATTCCTAAAGAGTGTTGTCTTGAATGATCCTTCCATGAAAACGAGGGGATGCTGGTGAAGCTAATTAAAAGGTGTTGCCAAATAAGAAAATCCTTACGTTTTAAATATTTTTCATGGACTGCAAACGGGTTTTAAAATATTAACGGAAAAGAAAATTATTAAAACCAAATAAAGTTTTTGTTATGATGAACCAAATGCAAATCTCCGATGGATGGAGTTTAGAAAATAGCTACTAGGGCATCTTTACCACCACTCATAGGATAAGATTCTGGCAAACTCTCCTTGCTAGCTATTTTGTTGGGGAATTTAAACTGGTAATATATTGATAATTATTTATTAGAAGCTGAGTACACTGATATAATATTTAACATGGTTTGATAAACTATCTACATCCATGAAAAAAATAATATTATTAAAGATAAATAAAGAATATAAAACAAATATATGGAGAAGGAGGATTATATGCACTTTAACTTAACTCCCAACTCATATACACTGCTGCATATGACAATAGAGCTGCTGTTATGGGAAGCAACTTTTTTTTTTTCTTCTTCTCTTCATTTCACTCTCTATACTCTTATATTTTGTTCTCTAAAATTATATCTTTTTTATTAATATTAAAGATAACTTCTCCAACATATTTATCAATACAAAAGGAACAAAAAAGTCATAAAATATAGAATCAATTATGCTATAATTTATGCTCCCACCTATACAAGTTGAAGTGAAATAGTTGCTACAATAATAGCAATTTCCTAAGACACTTCTCTTTTTCCCTTCTATCTGGTAGGTGAAGCTGCACTTAAGCTCGATATAGACAGAGAAACAAGCAATCTTTAACTAATTATTGAAATAGATTGATAATCCTGTCTTATTCATAGTTTGACAATTAATTATTAAAATATAATTGATAAATATTTAAAATAGAAATTAATTTTAGACAATCACATGAAAACTTCCATGACAAATTATTCAATTAACTAATAAAATATAATTGTAAACTATCATGCTAAGCTCCGGCAACGAAAGACAACTTGAGGGACGAAAAGCTTGTAATTTTCAATCGAATCTTGGGCCGGAGAATTTGGGTGGTATAAGGCTAAGGGAATCAATATAACGTAGTTGGACTTCTGAGTTCTAATGTGTTTTTTTCCTTCCCGTTTTATAGTGTAGCTGTAGTGCCTTTGCGTTAGTTGTTGCACCGATATTCTTGTCTATTAATTCGGTGAAATAAATCATTTCATTTTATTTTCATGAATAAATATTTATTTTGTTTGTTTTAAGGAATAGTTAATTCTTTATTAATTATAATTATATTAATTGTTACTTGAATAGGAGAATGGTTGTAGAAAATCTAATTTTGTAGAGAAAGAAAATAAAACATCTTTATTGATGGCTTCATATGAATGAGAAAAATCAACCTTCTCCAATTTAGATGAATTGTATCAATATTTTATGAAGTTTGGTGAGGAGTCTAAAGTTTATATTATAGAGAAAAAAATAGTAGCAAGCCAAAAAAAAAAACATTGTTCATACCATCTCTGATGTTTTTTTATTTTAGAATTAAAATCAAATTTACTTAGCATTAATCAACTTCAAGAAAAGAAGTATGAAGTTTCTTTCAAAAACATAGTAGGTAGAATTGAAAATGAAAAATTAAGTTTAATTGCTACAATTAACATGTCAGGGAATCAATTGTTTCCTCTATAACTTCAAAAGATTACTCATTCAAGTTTTTTTTTTATGTGATTAAAGGAGAAAGCATGATTATGACATTTTCTCCACGTACATCTTAATTTTGACAAATTGAAAATTCTATATAAAAAAATAAAATACGGTTACAAGTCTTCCTTGAATTACAACTCCTTATATTTGTGAAAAATGAGTTGTCAAACAACACCAAAATTAATTTCCATGAGAAAAATCATGGACTTATGGCCAATAACTCCACTTTCTAGTAGAGATAAAAGATATATAATCAACTTTATTAATAATTATAGTAAGAAAATTTAGGTTTATTTTTTGCAAGAAAAATCTAAAGTTTTGGAAGCCTATTAAAGGTTTAAAACACTTCTTGAGCATGAAGCTACCAAACCAATAACAGTTCTTCGAATAGATCATGGTGAAAAGCATAACTTATATGAACTTAAAACTTTTTATGTGTCTCGTGGAATCAAGAGGCTTGATGTGATAAATCTTTGCAAATGAATAAAATTATAACAAAAAGTAAAGATTTTGTGAAGAAATGAGTGTCGAAATATCAACGATTATTTATGCTATTTAGTGTTGAAATTTACCAAATTAATAACTAGAAATAAAATCAAAATTTTATGGAATTGACAATCTAATTGGAACCAGTTCAACAAAAGTAAATTAAAAGAAAAAAAGAATAAAACCTAACATTATAGAGATAATAATAAAAAAATTCTAGAGCTTTTGATTTCATCTAATTAATCTCGCACAATTTATTAATTTTTTATTATAAAATTTCAAATATTTGTGTTGATGATTAAAAAATCTTTTAATTATTCAATGTTTTCTCTCAAAGAACATTAAAAATATCCCCACCTAATAATTCAAAATATCTTTATATAAATTTAATTATTTAAACATTCATTAAATTCTTTAACTTTTCAATCTAAAACCACATTAATCATGATAAAATATCTCTATCTTTCATTCAATTAATTTTGTTTAGTCTTGAAAGCTTCTAATCATAAACTACCTCTTTGTCTCATTATGATTTATTATATCAAACAATAATTGACTAGAAAATTATAAGCACTAAAAACAAGGATAAACATGAAACAATCAAAAATAAAATAACTTGAAATTTAAATTGTATAATTCAAACTAAACTACATCAAGTCCCTAGAAAAATAAAATTTAGTTTATAATGATTCTAAAATAAACCATATTTTTATTGGAATACATTAAAGGAGAATTAAGAAGAACAATAAAAACTCTTTTGCTTGCAATCGAGTTAAAAATAAAAAAAATTTATTTTTAAATTTTTTCAAGTTAATTCAAGTCAACTCGTGTAATTCAAGATCTAATTTTTTAGCTATATCAACCCCTAGATTAGATTTGATAATTATGGTTTAGAATTGACAAAGATCAATGATAGATCATCTTAAAGTTTTTAGGTGTATTGTGATTGCCCCCATATACAAAATTGAAGCTTGATGATAATGGATAATTTTTTTTTTGATATTAATAATTATTTAAAAACTTATAAACTATATAATTTTAACATCACTAAATCTATTATTTGTCGTGATGTTATCTTTGGTGAAGCTAAAAATTCCTATTTACTATAAACATTATATTTGTGTTTAGTTCAAAATAAAAATTCTTAATAATGTATCTCCCTTGATGGAACATTATTTTATCGTCACCTCTAAACATTTATCTATTACGTAATTACTAAAAAGCCACTCCCATTTCTACTTCCATACATTTAGATAACTTTTCCAATTTTCTCTTTCATTATGAATAAAACTTATTTTAAGCAATTTATTGTTCCATGTTATGACAATCCAAGCATCTTTAAAAATTAGTTCTTGTGTGCAATCACTTTGGTTAAGGATGCTCTGTTTTAAACTCATTTAATGCTTAACAAATAAACTACCCGAACAAGGCTAGTTAGGGCACCGGCACGGCCACCGGCAGATCATTCATAGAATTGAGAAACTAGCAAGAGACCTGGTAATGATCGGAGGTCACTAAGGGATACAGACATTATTTCTTAAGGTAATGGAAACACAAATTATTTCTTAAAGCTTGATAATTCGTCAACATTGAAATCCAAAACGCATATCTTTCATCAGTTGATGTTACGCTTCAGCAGGATAAAATGGTCGACGTGTTGATGCGTCGCCCCATTGAAGACGGAGTCATAATTGTCTGCAAACTTCTTGGCAAAATATTCGAATATTTTGTCAACATCATCCCTTCCAAAGTGTTCTTCCAATAGTGCCTGAAAAACAGCTCTAAATTGCGAAATAGCAAATCGGACATCAATCTTCATTTTCATCATGGGGTGATTAAGCGTGTTCATTCTCTCAATACAGAAATGTCCGTTGTTCTTTATAATCTCTTCCAACTCCTTAGCAGAAGAGTAGTACGCAGGCAAATTAAAGGAATCCACCTTTTCTTCACTAATCACTCCCTGCAGCAAAAGTTATATAGTTCAATGAAATTAATATTTGAAAGAAAAAAAAAAGGAAATGTATACCATACCTTTTTGTTTACACAAATTTCACAAGTCTCTGTCTTGAAAATTTAAACACTGTCCATTTATATTATAATATAACTAAAGGCGAGGCATTATATATATATATAAAGTTAAAAGTGAGGAAGTTTTTGCTATAGCATTACATAGTAGTTTTTTTTTTCACCCTCAAACTTATTTTGTTTTAATTGCATACTTTTTATAACCGATTTAATGAGTTATAGTTTGAATTTATATATATAAAAAAAAAGTTAAAAGAGAGAGTGCTAAACTTTAAAACATGGCAAAACCGAGTTGCAATTCTCTTTTGCGGGCAAAGAGTTTTTTTTTAGTGCACTCATTTATCTTTTTATTCCTTTACCGTCCCTGTAGATTTTAAAATTTTAGTTTTAGTCCATAATAACTACGAGATTTGTAAGGAATTGCCTCCTCTATCTGACCTCATGAGTTGGCATGGTTTACTACTAACATAACACCAACCCCTTTCAATTGCTTCAAATACAAGAGAGATTTATATGCTTACCAATTTCGCCATGTCGATGAGGCAAGACCCGAAAAGCTCATTGCATATTCCAGCTCCAGTCTGAGCCATCAGGATCCCATCAGGAAGACCACCAATTATGATCACCATCAATCCTCCACCGATAATTTCTTGAGCTCTAGCATTCAGAAAGTTATCCATATCATTTTTGAACTGGGCTGAATACGCTTTCACTACTTCTTTTGCAGTTCCACTGCACTGTATGCTACCCTTATTCCATGCCGGAGATTTGACGTCCACAACTTCCTCTGGAACCTTAGAGAGCCAGTGCAAGGAATAGGAAGAGTATGCAAGATGGAGCGTTGACTTCGGGAATAAACGACCATAAAAAGTTCCAGGCACTCCAGCTGCAAAGTATTTTCGATATGATGGAAGGGTTCTGAAGAGAGTGTTGAAATCATTGGCCGTGACGTCGTTGAAGAAAACTTGGAACTCCAGGGGTGGGGAGTTTCGGAATTGACAGGCTTGGTATTTCTGCTCCACAGCTTCTATGATTCTTTCCACTGCGAAGAATGTATTCGGTCCAACAGAACATCCAAAATCTGCGATTCGAAAAGTGCAGATGTTTGAAGAATCAGAACAAGGGCTTTTAAAGTCAAGCTTCTCCCTGATGCCTTCATTCATCAATTCATTCGCGGCGTCCAACAGTCCCCTCTGCGGAAATAAATAAATATGCGTTTGTTAACTGTACTCGACATAATAATGTTCTATTCAAATTAGTCTTAAGAGAAAGAATGTATACCTGATAGGAAGAATTTTGGGCATAGCTACGAGGTCCATCTCCACCAACCATAGCCCATGATTTTGGCAGTGTTTTGGTCTCGCCATTTTCCATCTTTCTATTTCTCAACTTGATGCAGGTTTCCTTCCTATGGTGGCGCTCTACTTCACATTGAAGAGAAGGGTAGAGTATATATATATATATTAGAAATTCGCCTCTTACATCTTCCATAGTATAACATTTGAATTACTATTACAAGTTTGAATTACTTTGTATTATTTTTTTTATATTAGATATGAGTTTGAATTCAAGAATTTCTTAAAGGAATATAAATATTAATTACTGATTACTTAGTTTTTAAATTTTGGTATGATTTTTATAGATTTTTTCTGCTAGATAAATACACCCATTATGTAGTGCTTTCGAGTTGCCGAAATTGAGTTTGATAGCCTTGACTTGTTGATATTCTTTCTTAGAATGAAAAGCATTAGAGACTAGAGTTTGTCAAAGAAATATCATAACCTAAAACTTTATGTTATCAGGGGAAGCTTTTCCCGTGAAAGTTTTTTAAAATACTATATTAAAACATCATTTTAATTTGGAAATTTAAATTATTTAATAAATTCTTAAAATATAATTTATAGGTGCAAAACGTGAAACTCAAAAGTTCTATTTTATATAGATAGAGTATGCCACCTTCACTAATTATAAAAAAGAAAATTGTTTATTTAACTCGGTCTTTCTTGATTGTTCGAAGGTCGTTTTCTTCCTTCACGATCGTATATTCAACTCTTCCATTTATAATATTCTTTTCCAGGTTTTGATTAATTTGTAAGCATTCCCTACCAATACAGGCGTCGACGACGGCTTTTCTGTGATGTGATCTGTGATGTGATGTGATGCTGCACCCGGAAAAGCCTGTCCTCTCTATCTTCTATGCTTTTGGAATACATGTATTCTTTTTCAACCATACAGAACAATAATTGCCAAAGAAATCTCAAAGAGTAAATGAATATTTCATGGATTGTAACTAATTACTATATGTTATATCTAAATTAACCTATACTTTCGAGCAAGTCCATCCATAAATACTTTCTCATATGAAATTAAAATTCTAAGTTCAAGAACAATATGAGTAGTGAATTTTCAAGTTAACCAAAAGTTAACTTTAATTTTTTTTTATCTTCATATTTCTTATAATTTTAATATTTAATTACTTTAAATTATTAATTCTTGAATTTTATAATTTTTTTTATGTGTGCAGCTTAATCAAGTATGCTAATATTTTTTTTAACTTTGATTTTTTTACTAGATATTTTTAAATTTATTTTTATTATAATTTTAAAATGTGAGTGATGAATTAGTCAAGTTTATTTTAGTTGGTTGGTGATTTTTTTTAATATTAATTTTTTAAATTGGTTTAATATTAGATTATTTAACTTTGAGTTTTATAGTTTTTTTTTTAATTATTATAAATTATTTTATTTTTATATTTAGATTATATTTTACTTAAATTAACCTAACTAGGGTTATCATTCCCAAACCATCTTCTTTTATTTTCATAAAAATTTAACGCACGGCATAGCACGGCTGCTTACCTAGTGGTAACTATTTATGGTTAGTTCACTTTACTTCGATTTAAGTACGGACTAGGTTTAAAAATACAACGAAATTCTACACTAATTTATGAAATGCTCCTGAAATAACAATTAGAAGAATTAAACCTGGAGGTTCTAAAGCAGCAATTAACTTATCAATTATGAATACCCATTTTTATTAATCAAGAAAAATATTGCAAAGGAAAAATAGAAAAAAAAACAATAATAGACAATTAAACATATAGAATTACATATTTGAGGAAAGAAAAAAAAATGACAAAAGGAGAATGGAGTAAAGTAACAAATAATTTTTTTTTTTGACAAAATACAGAAATTAAGTAATTCAATTTGACACATCAAATAAAAAACCAATATTCCACACCGGGTCTAACTGCTTATAATGAGGGATCATAGACCCTGTCCAACGAATCTAAACTAATTAAAAAAAAAAAAAGGGAGGAAATTATAACGCGCTCGACTGACATTTCAAAGCTGATGAAAGTCTTTTGCTTGAATTAAATGATTGAAACAAGAAACAACTTTAATCAGAAAAATTGCGACTTAGAATGATGAACAGGTCCATGAATTTTTGATTCTTCGTATCCATGATGGAAAACCAATTCTCAGATAGTTTTATGTTGAAAAGTTCGAATACTGCATCGACAATCTCGCTTCCAAAGTGTCCTTTGATGAGTTCTTCCGTTACCGCTCTTAACTGTGATGTGAGAAATTGCGCTGTGAGGGTGTTGGTGTTCATGTTGCTAGTTATTCTATCAATTTTCTCAACACTAAAGAATCCATTTCTCTGTAACAATGCTTCTAAACCCTTCGCTGGTGAAATGTATATCGGCAAGTTGAAGGCCTCCACCTTCTCTTGACTAATTATTCCCTGCAATTAGATTTCAAGACTAATTAAACATGATTAGCAATAATACCATCCTCTCCTGAACTTCACTAAGATGCATCTTTAGCTTGGTTTATTCCCAAGGTCTGTTCCCTCAAATTTATTTGAAAATCCAAACAAGATTGGAAGCTTTACAAGGAAATTTTCAAACTCACGCCTCTATAAATGATGCTTCAAAGTTTGAAAAAAGCACTAAAGCGAAGGGATTTGCAGTCTTACAGATTGGGCCATGTTCTGGAGGCAAGATCCCAAGAGATCAAAAGTCACGCCGATTGAACTTTGAGACAGAAGCACCCCATCTTGTAGGGCAGGCATTATAATTACCAGCAATCCTCCATTCACAAGTTCTTGTGCCCTAGCATTCAAGAACGTCTCCATGTCATTCTTGAATTGAGATGAATATGCCTCTGCAACTTCTGTATGAAATCCCGTGCAGTGAATGCTACCCTTATTCCATGCAGGAGACTTAGTATCCAAGACTTCCGAGGGAGTTTTGGAGAGCCATTGCAGTGCAAAAGAGGAGTGGCCGAAGTGGAGAGAGGACTTGGGAAACAACCGGCCATGAAATGTACCCGGTACTCCAGCGGCAAAGAATTTGCGAGGGTGATTGTGATGGAGGTTTTTGAAGAGAGTGTTAAAGTCATTGTTGGTGTGATCATTGAAGAACACTTGGAACTCCAAGGATTGATGGTTTTGGTGATTGCCATGGTACTTGAGCTCCACAGCCTCTATAATATTTTGCACTGCAATGAATGTGTTGGGTCCAACAGAACAGCCAAAATCTGCTATATTGAAGGCGTTCGAAGGACTGTTCAAGGCAAGTTTGTCTCGGATGGCTTCGTTGATCATTTCCTTCGTAGCCTCCACTATGCTTTTCTAAACATTAAGTGCATGATTTTCAGAGTTTTGTGAACTCGATGAAGCTAAGAAGAAATTAACAAAAAAATTTTCAGAGTTTTGTGAACCCGATGAAGCTAAGAAGAAATTAACAAAAAAAGAACTTTTCTTCTATTTTTTCTTAGCTAAAAATATAAAAACATGTCTATAAATCAAACCACTGGTTCGCCTATTAACTCAATGATCTAATTAAGAACAGGGTTATACTCCTAATCGATTTCAATAATTATATGTAAAAGTCAACCGGACCCTCCCCTGTTCCTGATAATGCTTCGATCAAAACAGGGGACAATGGTGGAGCTAGTTAAATGGTGTTTGCAGAATGAGAAAATCCTAACCTTTTTACCATTTTCCTGTACTGCAAACGGGCATTAAGATTTTAACCGGGAAAAAAATTACTAAAACCAAACCAGATGTTACAGTCAGTATTGGCTTTAAAGCTCTTATGATGATCAAACAAATGTAAAAACCTGTAACTCACCTGGTGGACGGAGTTTTGAAAATAGCTGTTGGGGCCATCTCCACCACTCATAGGATAAGGGTCTGGCGAACTCTGCCCACTGGCCATATCTAACCTCCCCTCCTTCTCTGTGAATGAAGCTGCGCTTCAGTCCAATATAAATAGAGAGAGAAGACAACTGAGTTGAGTATTTTTGTCGGTAAATCCACTATGGAGTCTTCTTCTTGGAATTAAAATAAAAAAGCACATTCAAGAAATTAGATTCGGTAATGACGTCTGCTTCATGCTCATCCATTTTTAAAAGTTATTATGTTTATGTGTTTTAAAAATATTTTTAAAAAACGCTCATCCATTTTTTAAAGTTATTATGTTTATCTGTTTTAAAAATATTTTTAAAAAGTTCAATTTTTTATTTGTTTTAAATTAATTGTTTTTGTTGTTTTTAAATTATTTTGATGTGTTAATATAAAAAAATAATTTTTAAAAAATAAAGAATAATTTTAATATATTTTAAAATAAAAAATCATTACCTCGCTTTCAAATAGAGGACACTACAGAAGAAAACAAATAGATGATTTAAGCACATTATAATGACATGGTAAAAGCCGGCAACAATTCCTTTATATATATATATATTCATTTATTTTTTCCCCAAAGAAATGGCAACAATCTTAATCAGCCCTTCTCGTTTTACCTTTTCCCAAAGAAATGGCAACAATCTTAATCAGCCCTTCTCGTTTTACCTTCCTTTTAATTTCATCCTTGACCAAAAATACTTATCCATTTGGACCTTCTACCTTATATGAAATACGTACAAAGGATAGACAATACTTACAGGTATGCTCTGACTTGTGGACTTCACTTGTAGCTTTTGTCAGTGATTGCCATTATTATGTTCTGTTTATCCATGATTGTTTTTTAAAAAGATTTTCATGGTGTTTTTCTCAAATTTAAAGCTCATGCTAAACATATTTTTTCATGCTCCATCTGACAATTTCAAGCTAATAATCACGAGAATAATCATATAACTGATAACTTTGTAAAACAAGGGAAAAGAATATATAATTTTATGGCTTGAATCTGATTGTCTCATGACATGACGTGATGATTTTTTTATATTTCTTGTAATTTTATTATGTATTTTTTTTGTTTGTATTCGCTTTTAATATATGCTAGTATGATTATATTTATATAAAAATAAAAAATAAAAAAAAAAGTAATATTTTTTGTAATTTTATTATGTATTTTTTTTGCTTGTATTCGCTTTTAAAATATGTTAGTATGATTATATTTATAAAAAAATAAAAAATAAAAATAAGTAGAAAAGGGAGAGAAGGTGAAAAATTATTCTTGATTTTTTTTTTTTGATACTCAAAATTTGAAAGTACTTGAGCAAAATAGAGAGTCTTGCAATTAAGAACTTTTGAGTATAAGCTATCATGCAAAAAAATAATAATAAAAAAGGTGATAATTCCTAACCAGAACAAAGACGCGAAAAACACAAAAGTGGTCGTTGGTCGTTAAAACCAAATGTTTCTCTCATAGGAATAACAGCCAACGTTCGCACAAAATAATAATAAAAAAAAGTCCCTTCTCATAGCATCTTTATATCTTCCCAACCATTGACAATGCCTCCCTCATTGATTAACGAACCAGCCCAGATTTATCAATTCGGTATTTGATGAACTCACTCTCTCACTGATCCCTCTTGAACCCACTTCTATTTTAGTTTATTTAATGTTTTGCAGGGTTTTGTATTTGATGAACTCGCTCTCTCACTGATCCCTCATGAAACCACTTTTATTTTAGTTTATTTAATGGTTTGCAGGGTTTTAAAGAGCTCGAGACGATGGATCCGATGCAAGAGGACAACTATTCTGGCGAGTTTGACATGCAGCTTATAGGGAATTTCTTGAGTTTTGCATCTAGAGGTGACAGAGTGGGACTGAACCAGATGTTGAGGGACGGTATATCTCCTAATGTACAAGACTATGACAAGAGGACTGCCTTGCATCTTGCAGCTAGTGAAGGCCATGCTCCTATTGTTGAGCTCCTTCTGCACTACAAGGCCAATGTCAATCTCAAAGACCGTTGGCAAAGGACTGTAAGCACCCCATATGCATTTGTCACTCGTTTCCATATATTTGTTTTTTGGTGAATTGAATTCATAAAAGAAAATTGATTTTCACATGTTTATAATATTGCATGCTATGTTAGCAATAGATATGGGATTTGTATAGAATTTCAGTCCATCCACAATATTTAATACTCTCTGCTTTAGCTATCTCATGATCAATCTTAGGCCTCCTGACATAAAAATTCAATGCATTAAAGTTTTTAATGTTTCCTTCATACCATCTTCACTAATAGCACGTTGTTGCTTTGTCTACTAACCAGTGTCTCGAAGGAATTCGGTTTAGCAGGATTGATTTGTTCCGTTAACCTTGTCCTGTTGAAGACACTCTCGTATTAGCTCCCTTCGAAATTAGTTTGGTGAATCTAGTTTTATTCTGTATAACTGAAACAGCTAATCTAACTAGGTTGAAAAGTGATCTTGATATTGATTCTATTTCTTTACTGTAATATCAAGCCCTTGACAGATGCAAGACTCTACAGTTACCGAGATATATGTAGGATCCTGGAAGTTAACGGAGGCAAGGATTTCATCAATGACCACCCAATGGTAATTGAATCATCTCCCTTTCTTTCTTTTTGTTTTTGAGGGAAACAGTGAGAGTGGGGATGGTGGGGTGTAGGGAGCATCAGGCTGAATGTTCAGTGTAGAAACAACTGATACATCTGTAAGAGATTAAGTAATTAGATCATGAACCTCAAGATCTTTTCAAATGCATTGTACTACTACTGCTCAAAGTAAAGTAAAAATTAGCTAGTATTAAGGAAATTTGCATCATGCAACATATGATCTGTTTCTAACTCGTGCTTTGTCATGCAGACATTTCGACATGAAGATTGCATTGAGATGAATTTTGATATTTCAGAATTGAACACAGAACAGTCATCAATAGTTGAGCAGGTGACCGTAAATTGTTAACATTAATCCCTTCGAGGAATTGCTTCTCTGTTTTGTCTACCAACTTTTTGAATATCGTACTTCAATCTTGGAGAGTCGTGTGCATCAAATTTCTATATCTTATGATGTTAGTCCTGGAGTACAACAAACGCATGAGTGATCTATTCTATACTTGAGTAACTCTTCGACTAGCTGGTGGTAGTTAAGCTTTGCTAAGACCTCACATATGCAACCTGTCTTCACAGCCTTACTGTCAAGGCACTGCCTATGTCTTTACTTGTATTAACTTGTTAGAGAATTCTTCTTCTGATAATTTTCAGGGTGTCTTCGGTGAATCAGTCAAGGTTAAGTGGCGGGGAACATGGGTTGTTAAAACGGTGATTAAGAGTCAGATATACCATCCTGTAAAAATGTATGCTTAGTTGTTCCTTCTTCCGTTCTTGATTCTTTGTTTCATTCACATTTCTTTGAGCTGAAGGAAACAATTGAACTACTCTAGATTCTGAATAAATCCCACTTTGAACATGATGCAGGATATTATCTGCCAAGGATAACACTCTCTTACGACAACTTCAGCATCCAAATATCTTGCAGTTTCTTGGTTCAATTGTCCATCGGGAGGAGATGATTCTGATTACACAGCATCTGCCTAAGGTATGTCTTTTCAGGCTTCTACATAAGATTTTTAAACTATGGTTTGAGGCTTATGGCAACACTCCACCGTTGTGTGCGTGCAATGAGTAATGGATTTAGCTTCATTGATAATTTTGGTGATTGACATATTTTTTCTTGGGCATGGTATGTTTCTCTCAATAGTTTTTATTTCTTATGTAGGGGAATTTGGATGGTATCTTGACCACAAAAATTCGGCTTGATATACCTACTGCTCTGCGCTATGCTCTAGATATCGCAAGGTAGTAAGATTTTCGTTGCTCTGATTTCATGTTATAGAAACGGAATGCTGGGAATTACGACCTGTTGCATTCATACATCTATTCCATGTGTCAAGCTGCAAATTATTTAATTATATAAATTATATTCTACACAGAAGCTTTCTTGAACGCATGATCTTGCTATTTCTTCATATATTATGTTAAAGCAATTTGTGATTCTTTCTTATCTACAATGATTACAGGGGAATGAATTATCTCCATGAGCACAAACCCTTACCCATAGTTCACAATCATTTGACTCCCAGGCGAGTGCCATCCTCAACTTCCATCTTATCCTTCAATTTTATTATATGGCATTCTGTGACTCCATGAGTTTCAAAATTAAAGCTCACATTCCTCTTAATTGTTAACTCAATAAACGAATTGTGGTGTCACCGTGGATGTCGCGGAAGCATGGTTATGCTGTCCTGACAATATCATGCAAGAACATGCAGCAAGATGCCCTGGTTGGATGAGTATAGGAGAACATATTAGGATCCTGGATTTCAAGAATGGTAACCGGAATAAATGACTTCATTTTGTGATTATTCTCTCTATGGGGTTTTACTCTTTTATGCAGTGATGACACCATGTGCAGTCATTACCACTCCAATAAGTGTTGTCGGAACTCCACATTCTCTCGCCATCTCTCAATTTCTTTCTTTTCATGTATACTAGTGGAGGTCCATTAAGATCAGTGGAATGGGAGTTCCTAAGCTCCTCGTTTGGAATTTTGGCTGGTGATTTTTCGAGAGGACTAGCTCTTTCACTTTTTCTTGAATTATCAGAACTTTTAAGGCCCAGACTCTCTTAAGCTCTTTATATTTCACTGTCTTTTCTTTTTTGCCTCGTCTTCTATTGTGATTGGATTAACCACTTGTATAAATATCATGTAATATAAATCTAACAAGTTGCCCTCATTCCCTACATAAACCCTGTAACATGTTTTCCTATGCATGCTCTTATTCAGTCAGATGATGACCTTATGAGGGTTTTCTTGTTTTATTTCTCATGCAGAAACTTGTTACTAGATGAAGGTGGCCACTTGAAGATTGGTGACTATTGGGTTCAAATGTTGTATGAACAAATCCACCCCAATCAAGACAACAGTATGTTCTCGCCTTCCTTCCATTTTTCTTTCTCGACCATTTTAAAGAACTATTCAGTATACCTGGAACTGTACTCCCATCTTAAGTATAAAGGCGGGACTCGTGTTTATGTGAGGGAGGATTACAGCTCCAATTATACCTACTAGTTTCTCAACATTTCATCTTCTTATCATTAATTTCCAATGTATATATATGTAACATTAATTCTACTTCCTAAGACCCTCTTTTGTTTCGAAGGCCAAAGGAATGATGGTTCCATCATGTCCAGCAACCAATCGAATGACACCAAGAATGATATTCGCTCTTTTGGATTCATATTTTATCAGGTATCTATCTATATTCGAAGATGCTAGCTGCAGAAAAACATCATTTGGCTTGTTTTACAAACTATTTATTCTATCAAAGAGATGTGAAATGTCCTCTGATGGATGCATCATCTTACACTAATCTTATGATAGTTTCTGGTTCTTCTTTGCCTGTGTTTCTGTCACGATGCATTTTCCCAGACTCTTTTACTCGCCCCCGTCAAGTTGGCTTATGAATTGAGAAATATAAAAGAATAATAGAAACATAAAGCAAAGAGAAAGGAAATGTATACATTGTCATTGCATCATCTCTCGAGAATAGGACTACTGTAAGTAAGTTTTACTTGCCATACAAGCATGGGAACGTGTCTGATCTATTGCAATTTTCTTTTTCCAGTTATGGTAATTAAGAATTTCTTGAGTATAGCATATGGTTCACCATTTTAGTTCGAAATTTTATTGTACTACAGATGCTAGAAGGAAGAGTGCTTAGCAACATGAACTTTGATAAGTCTACCGATTTTGAACTAAGGTTCCAGATAAGCCGCTGCCCTAACAGAATTCAACAGTAAGTGAATATCTTTTTTTTTTCCTACCAACTCTTTTTTCATGAATAATCCCGACTTTCTTGTACTTTGTGAAAAAGGTAAATCCTTATTAGAAAATTATATCAATAATATATTGAAGTATTTTTACTTATCAATTTAAATTTTTAAAATAAAATAATTTTTTAATATAATATAACCTAACAGTCATAAATTCAAATCTAAATATGTTAAAAAATTATATCTACCACTTGAAAAAGGTATTATATTGAAGAATTATATAAATTATATATTAAAACTTATCTAAAATTTTAAATTTTTAGATTGAGTTAACCAGTCTCATGAATAAGAAATACTGATTTGGAAGAATGGAAGTATGAGCAAGAAATACTGGTTTGGAAGAATGGAGGTATTGTTCGTTACCAATTCTGTGAAAAAATTGTTATGTTCAAACCAACTTGACAATTTCAAGATCTTGGGAATTATATGCTCCAAACATTGTAGGTTTTTAGCACAGTGACATCGTCATATCAGCATTTTCTTGGCCTGTGAAAATTGAGATCTCCAAAAGTTTGTCAGAAATAATAAAGATCAAGGAAAAATTTTAGATACATTAGACAGTAATTGCATCATTTCAAATTAAACTTATCCACTCTTGTTTGGATTTTGCAAGTGTTAAATTAGTTAATGTATGGTTATCATTTGCAGGTTAATCCAGCATTGCACAAGTAAAAATCCTTGTCAAAGGCCCTCATTTTCTTGTGTCATAGAGATCTTGGAAGAAGTTTCTGCATGTCTGGGGAGACCTGGATGTTCTCCTGTTTGTTGAGGCCATCAAGCATGTATAATAAGAAGTGGTTGGTTATCATCAGGGCTCCATGAAACAGTCAAAACTGGTTTCTGTTGATCTATGATTGTATGCTTCCATGAAACTTTACTGCCATCTATAACCTGAATCAGATTAGTTATAATTTAATCGCTTATTCAAAGGGAGACAAATTAACACTAAACTTTAAATTAAAACTTCAGTAAGGGCAATGGTATTTAAAAAGAAAAATCAAAAGAAAAGAGAGGAGAGGAGAAGAATAAATGATGATGAATCATGTAGCAGGAGATACATAAGCATTTGGATCATCTTCGAAGGTATGCTTCCCTTAAATTTCCGTGTGCTATGCAAACACTCAATATAATTCTTTTATTTAAAAAACATTAAGAGAAACATTTACCTGCCATATGATTGCTGACTGATCCTTGGAAGATGATGACAAATACTTTCCGTTATGTGAAAATTGCAGAATCTTTCAACTTGGCATAAACTTAAAGGATTCATTCAGGAAATTCAGAGTGATGTGCAGCATTTTCATGTTAAGATGTTATGAAATGCAGTAACAATGATTGCAAAAGCAGAGTAAATTAGCATACAACAAATCTTGTATTTGAGACGGTGATGATGTGAAAACTGCAATTTTAGTATGAGAAAGAAATGTCATGGCATTAGAGTATGAAAACAACGACAACGAAGACAACGATTAAAGTAAGGGCATTAGCACTTATTACCTAACCTAAGATTCTTCCAAATAATAGAAAATGCTGACAGAAAATTGAAAAATAACTTACGGGATATTTCATCGGCTTATGGTGAAGAATGCATTGGGGTTAAAAAATACCAATGGAATAGGCAATGAAATACTACTGTCGAAAAATATCTCTGGGATTTTTTATTTCATTAGCAATTCTATCAGCATTTATTTTCCTGGGGGAATTTTTCGCTGGCTATTCCATCAGTATATTGCTGCACATTCTATAAGTTTTACAAAAAATTCCAAATGAAAGTGAAATTTTTGGTGGAATCCCATCAGAAACGCCAACAGAATTGCCTTTCCGTCAGCATTTTCATGAGTGATTTCAATTTTCTTGTTTCGTCTATTATGATCTCTAATTCAACAATTGTTTGCTTACAATAAACCCACAACCACAACAAAAAAGCATCTCCTAGAATTGATTTATGCGATTTTAACAATAAATAATGTTAAATAGATATGTTAACCTATGAGTTTTCATAGTTGAAAAATTTTAGTAGAAAATTTATATAAATGAGATCAATAGAATTCCATATATAAATATTTTTAAAACAAAAGTAGATATGAACATCACAAACCATTGAAATACAATCAAATCCACAATGTAAAGTGTATATAATCCGTACATCACACCGGGGGTGTTGAAGAAGGTGGAAATGGAGGGGAGGAAATGGTGGTATGAAGAGGTGATAAGCAACCAACGATGGAATGCTCAATTAAAATTTCGTCAAACCATAGGACGAGACAGAGGAATTTCTTCTAGTTGTAGACAGAATTATTTTCTAGTTCTCTACTCAGATTGCTGATTTCACACGGGTCCTCCAAGGTGGAGTCTACATTTGGATGGAGACAATTTTATTTTTTTTAATTAATTGAACTTTAAGGGAATGGATCCCTTGGGTTTTGATTTTGCTATTTGGGAATCACAAGTTTTCACCAGAATGAGCGCGGAGAGCATGAAAAACCAAAAGCAAAAAACCTTGCTTAGCAATTTGAATGGGGAAACAAATATACCTGGCTTCTATGATGATTTTTAACTTTACTGATTTGTTTCTGTAGTCAAATATCTCAAACCTTCAGGGGAGCAATAACGTAGTGTGCGGGAACATTGAAGTGGGTACAGAATCTGCTACAAGTGTATGCCAAAACAAAGAATATGGGTGTAATGGAGCATTGGATTGCATAGATAATGATATCCATGAAGACACATGCATCTTTTCACCCTGTCCATGCCCTCTTCCAGACTGTAATATGCTGGCTCATCTGAACAATTGTCATTAGCCTTCAGCAGCAAACATTGGGACTGTGGAAGGCGTTTTAGGTACAACATTTCCTTTTCCCGTCTCATTAGGGGTGAATGAACAGTTCCTTGTTCCTCAAGCAGATGGAAGAGGGTGTTCTTTTTCTCCTCAGCAAGGGTATTGTGAGCATTGGGAATATAGTCATCGTAACCTTTGTTAGACCAAGCTTCTCAAAGGATGGGTTCTTATATGATCTGGTAGCAGGTAGAGGGGTCAGCTCTCTTAGGTTAAAGTCATTGACTGAGCCTTTTCCTGGGAGGGTGGAAGTCTTAGCTCCTGTAGATTTTCTTCTGATTCCATTCCCTTTCCTTGGTCCTTCTGGGCAGCTTGACTTGGAGGTTTGTATATGGAGTTCAACAGAACTAGGTGCAGATTGTTCTTAATAGCGTTTAGAAACACATTCTAGATCATCATCATCATATCTGTAATGGTCTTAGAACCATGTATTCGAAGAGTTGTAGAGCTCATTTCATAGTTTTTGCTCAAAAGATTATGGAGACAAATGCTCTCTTCCATCAAAGCTGACTGACTATCCTAGTATAACACCTTAGGTTTGTTAATCTTGCCGCCGAACTTTCCAGGAGATCACAGTCAATCGAACCTAGCCTGTATTGAAAATCACTGTAATGTCCAGCTGATTTTGTAAAGAAAACGATGAAACTTTAAGAATGGCTTAATTGTGCTTTTGTAATTATGAACTTCATTGTGCTTTCCAGTTGACAAATCATTACTGTCACATAAACTTATAAATTGACTCGATAGTTTAACGAACTAAACTCCTTTTCAAGTCAGTCCAGTGTTTTAGAGAAGGAAGGGATTTAAGGATTCGAGCCTGGGACCGGTGTGCGGAAAGGTGGTCGGAGAATAGTTGGCGTGTCAAAGAACAGAAAACAGAAACATAAAACAGAAAGGCCCAAAGTTAACTGGGCTAGGCCTGCTACAGAGGCAATAATCAACTGAAAGAATTTCAACCCATGGTGGCTTGGGCAGTGGATGGATAAGCAGCAACAGAGCAATAAAATGTTTCTAAAACCTCAATAGAGTAGCCGTTGAAGCAGAAGGAGAGACAGCGGAAACGGCATGAATTCTTCATTAATGCTACGCCGTTTCTTCTGTTTCAACTCAACAACAACTGCAGTAGCAGCAGCATCTTCTACTTCTTCAAAGAAGAAACCCCTTGTCTTCTTGGGTTCTCCTCAGGTACTACAAAACACATTTATTCCCGTACTTGTGTCTGTTTCATAATGAGAACTGAACTGTGATTTTGGTTCCTTTTCAGGTGGCTGCTACTGTTCTTGATGCTCTTTTCAAGGCATCTAAAGCACCCAATTCTCTCTTTGAGGTACTTGTGTCAAAATCCAATCTCTTTGTTACCTTTTAATATTTTTGTAATTGTTTCTATCTGGGTTTTGGTTAAAAATGAGAAAGATGATATTTTTGTGTGGATTTGTGTTAATGGGATCTGCTTCTTTTGGAAGTTGTAAGAGGTTGTGGTGTGCAATTTAGTGAGAATATATTTTTGTTTTGTTATTAGGTGGCAGCTATTGTTACACAGCCACCTGCAAAAAGAGATAGGGGTAAAAAGTTAATGCCTTCACCAGTTGCTGAGTTTGCTCTTGATACAGCCTTCCCCTCTGATCTTATTTTAACACCTGAAAGAGCTGGAGAGGTAATTTTAGTGGTTCTTGTTTGGGAATTTGATTTTTTTTTTTTGAGTAGTTGAATTTTTTTGCAATTTGCATGCTACCAGCAAGAATTTTCTGTATTAGGTCATTTTCTTACTTTACCTGCTGTTCTCCTTTACAATTCTGCAACTTATGTGGATGAGTCTGCCAATTAGCAATCTGATAGCTTTTCATCATCCAAGAGCTACAGATACTGTTTTCTGCAATTAAGTTGGGTCGTACTCATTGGAAAATTATAGATTTTTATCATTTGAAACTCCATGGAAGTGAGTGCATTGCATTGACAGATGTTTACGATTATAACTAAACAAATTAGGAAGATCTTGACAAGTTTGTCTTTTCTATTTAGTAGTTTGTCCTAGTCATTGAACTTAACTGATTTTTTGGAACATGGGAATAAGTGAACTGTTATTTGCAGAGAATTCATATACTTCTATTTCTGTGTAGGATACATTTTTGTCCACTCTAAGAGCATTGCAGCCTGAACTTTGCATTACAGCAGCATATGGGAATATCTTACCAACCAAGTTTCTCAATATTCCACCAATGGGTTAGTGAGATATACTTTCTCCTAACGAAATTGAGAAATTTGTTTCTTTGCTACTTCTGGAATCAACATCTCATGTGTGTCAGTTGGACAATAGTTCTTACTTAGCTGTGGTATTTCCATGATGAAAATTCTTTTTTTTTTATGGTGCATGTGGTATGCTGTTTTTGTAGATTTAATTTCCATTTTATCCATAGAGGAATATAGGTTAGCTGTTTCTTTGACCAAATGAATTTGCATATATATGTTTTTATTATATAAGTTGGGGCTTGTGGGCATTATATGGTTCAATTGTGGGAGCTCAAGTTGGGCTTGTGGGCATTATTATATGGTTCAATTGTGGGAGCTCAAGTTCTAGTAGGGATGACAATGGGTAGCCACGGGTCGGGTTTCTACTATATCCAGCCCTATCCATTATCAAACAGGTAAGAAATTTAGATATTTGATATCCATACCCTATCAATCAACATAAAATAAAATAGTAATGTGTGTGTGTGTGTGTGTGTGTTAAAAAATATAAATGTTTTACGTGTATATCTATATGATACAAATGTATATATTTCGGGTTAGGTTTGGGTTGGGTTTGATAATATCCATATCTTATCCATTACCTTTTGGGTAGAACCCACCCATTCAAGTCTGTTCGGGTTGGTATCCATCAGGTTCAAATGAAATTGTCATCCCTAAATTCTAGTCTTAAGAGTAGCCATTTGATG